ACTAAAATGTAAGTAACCAAGTGAGTTGCAACTCTGAAACCATAGTAAGTAAGATTTAAAAGAGGAAAATCTCAATAACATTTTGGAGTCTAATAATAGAAGCTAAAATAATTTCTCTACCTATCCTTTTACAACTCCGGTAGTCTCAAAATACCTGGAACCAGTATAAAACAGGCATTCTATATATGAGCATTTGGAGCTTGAAATCCACATATATTTCTAATAATATCAAGTGTTGGGAAGGACATGAAGAAAGAACTTTCATACACTGCTACTCGGGGCATAAAGTGGCACCACCTCTTGGTGAGCTGTTTGCTAGTATGAATAAAGTTGAGATCAAATGCTCTATGGCTTAGCAATCCCTAGTCTTATGTATGTACCCCAGACAAACATGCAGATGCAAGAATAGTTATAGCAGCATTGTTTGGAAGATGCATGGTCATAGGTGCAAGATTAGATAATGAGATTAAGGAATTTCATACAATAAAGTCTATATGGAAATAAAAGTGAATGATACAGAGCCACATGTCACCATCAGTGAATCTCTCAAGAAAAAGATTGCCAGATAGAAATGCTATGATAGGGGCTGGGGATTTAGCTCAGTGGTATAAGCTCCTGCCTTGTGTATTTGTATACACAAGGAATCGTGAGTTCAATCCCTGGTACCAATTAAAAGAAAAAAGAAATGCTATGATAGAACTTGCATCAAGTTATAAAATATACAAAGCAAAATAGTTTAGTGGATGATTTAAAGTATGTAGAGATTGTGGTTAATTCTGAATGCCAAATTAAGGATAACGGCTACCTCTGAAAGAGAGACAGAGAGACAGACAGAATGGACATCAGTTGTTGGGAGTTCATAATGTTATTCTCTATGCATTATGTTAGTAATATTTCATACTAAAAACATTTTGCTCATTCAATTAAGCATGAGAGAAATGGAATAAAATGTCTTCTCCCCTGATGATTGAGATGCTGTGAAACTGCATAAAACTTACCTTCCATACATTCCTATGGGATTTGTTTTTAGGTTATTTTATAAATGCCCTGAAAATAAAAGTCAAAAAATCTTTTCTGTAGTGTTCATAAATATGTGCAAATACTATGAACTAACATACTGTAACAGCAGGAAACTCCCATGATACAGATCATTGTGGACTTACAATGGGTGAATGTGTTATACAGGTGAAATATTTGCACTTAAAGTATTTTTTATTACAAAATGACTATCTGTTCCTATATGAGAGCATCTTCAAAACACTGATTTTTCAGTAGTAACTCTACTTCATGAATATCTTGCTTCTTAAACTATAGATTTTAATTTACATTGTCCATTTAGTGCTCTTTCATAGCAATAATTGAGTAGCTAGACTGCAAAAAAAAGTTTTTAGCCAATGATATTGTGTACAATGGTGTGCCAATAAATATTAAAACAATGTAGTACCTATGAAAATCCTTATTTGCTAGGTTTTCTGATTTCTGTGGTGTAAATATATCTACCATGGTGGATTTCAAGCTATTAACATGAAGCTTCTGGGCTGGCATTTGTGAAGAGATATATTAATTCCCTGTTAAAAATTTAGTGGGAGGTTCCTACACTAGGGTGCTCTAGCTCCTTAAATTCCTTCCTAAGCAAACTAGAGTCCAAGGTAAACAGTAACATGAAAACAGTCATCCATTAACATCTAACTGAGGTGTTATATTTTATACCTAGATGTTCCCCAAGAGCCTCATGAGTGCATAGGTGGCCCTTTTGGAAGGTGACTGAAGTATGCATGCTAAAGATGATTTGGTGTTAGGTGGTGTCAGGCTGGAGGAGACAAGTCAGAAGGGGTATGACCTGGTGCTTTTGCCTCCAAGGCTCCTCTCTTCTCTGGCTTCTGGCCACCATGACATGAGCAGACTTTCCTCTGTGCGGGCCCTACTGCCATGCTGTTCTGCTGACCATAGACTGTAACCATGACGCAAAATCAATCCCTCGTCCTTTAAATTGTGGGTGTCAGATATTGTGGGTGTCAGTGACGAGAAAGTGACCATGACATCTGAACAGTGAAATACAATTTTGTTTTCTTTCTTTTATTCCAGCCTATAGAGTTCAGTGCCCATGCTGCTAGAATTTTCAAAGCCTTCCAGTTTTGGCCACTGTCCAATATGTAAATTAAGGGGACCGTTTTATTTTTATGAGGTCAGCATGTAGGCTGTATGTTGCAGTTATTGATTTAGAGTTCTATACAACAACTTACTCTAAAATTTTAAGAGTGACTGCATCGGGCAGATTTACTATGTTGGTATCTTTTTATAGATCAGACTCTCACATTCAGAATTGCAGTGAAGCAACATTTTGAATGTAAATTCTTGGAATCAGGAATATCCCTGTTAGTATCTTCAACCTTTGTTTACCCTAAAGAAGGATAATTCTTTTCCCAGAGTCAAATGATCCAGCCAAGGGTTCAATATAGCTCCATCATATTCTAGGTGGGTGGGGAGAAAATGTCTTGGCCCTGTTTCAGAAGCTTTTGCAGCCCATAGCTCCAAGGATAAGATGAAAAAGATCTACCTTGAAATTAGTAAAAGAGAAAAGAAACAAAGTGATCTGTGGACCTGGAGTTGTTGAGAAGATTGTGTTTCCACAGTCTTTTGCCTGCTGTGACTCCTTCGACAGCTCCATGGTTTGCAGAACATAGATGTTTGTGGCTCTGACCCTGAGACCTCTACACAACATAAACCTAACATTCAAAAAGAGCCCTGATTCCTGATTGATTCACTCAGGCCTGTCAGCAGCTGGAGTCTGTTTCCGACTTGTGTAAATTATACCACCCTAGCTTCCATGGGCTTTGAAGCTTTCCTTCAACCCTCCACCTACAGCTTTTGGAGTATCCTGCCATCACGCTATGCTACACATGCCTTCCCTAGCAGGCTTCAAAGAATAAAATGGAAAAGCTTGCTGGAATGTTTGTGTGCTAGATGACACAGATGAATGTGCTCTAGAAGTCCAGTGTCACATCTGGAAGGCCCAGTGCTCGCAGCTGGGGAAAATGCCAAGGACTTAGTGGCTAAGTATCTGCTATGAGCCAGGGCTGCAACCCTAGTTTATTTAACCGCCACTCTGCCTTCCAGGCTACCTGTTGGGCTTCTTGAGTTTGTCACTTGTTTTTTAGCGAGAGGATCACTAGTAGCGATCCCAGGTCGAGTCTTGGGTGTGCTGGTTCCTATCAATGCAGAAAACCTCAGCTGCCCTAAAAACCGCAGTCAGCAGAGTAAATGTACTTCAGTTGAAAACACTCTGCTTTCATAGTGGAGAGTGGGAGATCTATTCCTGATTGGTTTCTCCATGGTTCTACCTAGCCTTATTTGACCTCAGTCTCCTTATCTGTAGGGGTAGAATAAATTGCATGTTAATGGACTTTGCATCTTTGATATTCTTAGATTGGACTGTAAACATTCAGGAGTTCTTTAGAATGTATAATTAAGCAATTTGGTAAACTGGCATGCCACGATTCAGGAGAATGGGCGGGGGACACCCTTTTTTCCCTTTGGCAGAGAAAAATTGGATTATACTTTGTTTCTGTCACCATAAAGCAGCTAATATTCAAAAGAACTGAAAACAATCATATTTAAACAGCAAGGTAAAATGACTACATTCTATTAGCACATTTTTCTTCACTCAGCAAGAGTTCTGTTTTAATGTCACTTGCAATATTTTAGCAGCATGTTTCAGCCCATTTAGGTTAAGTAGCTACAGCGATTTTGAAAGCACTAATGATTCTTATATAGTGAATGCAAATACCCTAGGCAGAAGCCAACCAGGCCCTAACTCTGAGGTTGCTGGCTCTTTGGTGGGCTTAAAAGCCCCGCATATTTAGTGGTAGCAACATGCCACAGGTGGGCCATGATAAACTCAGTCATTTTTGAGCTCATGGGAGAAGGATAACTGTGGCTCAGAGATTAATGAGCCCAGGAGGCCTGTGCTCTGCCACGAGGAAGGCCAATCACAAGAGATGTGAGTCCATTTCCCTCCATTGCCTTTGTAACGGTGGTCTCCATGGCAACCAGGCCAGAATGGCTCCTTTTTCTCAGTTACAGAGCACTGGGGCTATAGACCTTTAGTCATTCAAAGTTGAAATAAAATGTTTTGTACATGAATAGCATCCTCCTTAAACATAAGGTTGACAAGTTTAATGTCTCCCTTTTAACCAACAAATGGCAGAACTGAATTCTTTCATTTTTTTCTTGAAGCCTAAATCTCAGGCATTGTTTTATTATTTAAGTATGGTTACCATACATGATACTCAAGAGTAGTTGCTGGGTGTGGTGGTGCCTGCCTGTAATAACAGCACTCTGGTGACCGAGGCTGGAGGATCACAAGTTCGAGTCTGGCCTGGGCAAGTTCGTGGTTTTTATCTCAACAACAACAACAGCAACAAAAATAAAACAAAACAACAAAAACATTTGGGGATATTGTTATAAACACGTATTCAAATTCACCTAACATTATGAGCAACTACTACAGTGTAGCAGCCATTGGTGAAGCAACTGGCATACATTATTTTGTCTAACTTCCTAAATACTTCATATACATGTTAGCTAAAATTTGATCAGCATTACAGGTGTTTGGCATACAGTAACCACTCCTTGAATATTTGGTGAATAAAGCAATGACAAAACATGAACTCAGGTTCTGAAGGTCACAGTGCCCTTTGGAGAACACACGAAGTCTTTCATCACATACATGGAGAAATCAAACCCCAGAAGAGGAAGTGAGCGACTTATTGAAGTGATTGTCAGTGACTTTACTGATACAACTAGTTAGACCTAGTTCTGTCCCAGGTGGACCACCACTATCCTCTTGAGCCACAGTAGATCTGCCTCACGTGAAAGCTAAGTGACAAAAGGTCTCCAAATCTCTGGGTTTTATCACACTTGGACACATTCTTCTGAATGTTTTTACTGGATGTAGTATATAGAATATTTTGTGAATTATTTAGCAAGAGACACTTGGGGAAATTTAAAACATGTTTATTGATACTTAGGTTTGCAAGACTAAAGCAAAGAAGTGTTAACTACAAGAATTTTAATCAATGACTAAGGTCTACCTGGAGGTGGGTGGGGGCACAAAGTGGTTCAAAACATAGTTTTTCAGCAGATTGAAGCACCATCTAATACAAAGTGACTGACTGGCATCAACTAAATTCACAAAAAGCCCAGGTACAAGCTAGAACACCAGTTTTTACGTGTACAAATGGAAAGGCACCTTGGTTGGTCAGCAATTTTCTAGAAAATTCCATGATTATGAAATCAAGACGTTCCTTGGTGAGTTTGAGATCAGCATGGGGAAGGTTGCTGACTGATTGCACCGTCCTCCTCAGTAGGGGTATGCCAGCCCAAGTGATGCGATGCTCCTGGTCTCTGGTCTCGGCAGCTTCTTGCTTGAGTAGCATCATCCTAGAGACACACTGTTACATTTTTCCTTAAAGATTGCGCTAGTTCCAGGTTGCAAACTGTCCTTTCTGTGAGCATTGTTTCTTTGGACAGTGGGCAATGCATACTGTTTGATGTTAGCTTTGCCAATTTTGCCTTCATGGAGTTGTCCCTTGTCAGACCATTGTAATAAATGAAATTCAAGCCTTTTGGGAATGATTCTAAATGACTAATTCATATATATATATATATATATATATATATATATATATATATATATGAAAGGGACTTGCCCCTCCTCATATTGTTCAACCACCTTATTTCATCCTCTGTATTCTAAACAGTAAGTCTGAAACCGAAGTGAAATTCAGCCTGAGTCTGGTGGGCGTGTGCAGCTGTGTACAGCAATGAAGCAGGAGAATGTACCCCTGCTCTCCTTTAATGACTGGAGCGAGAGAGGGAGAGAGGGAAGAGAAAGGGAAAAACTGACTTGGGGATCAGTAGCTGGAAAAAAATAAAGGGTTAGGGAATAAGAGTAGAGAAAAAGGAATGGTGCTACTGCTGAACTTAGCCTTTCCAGTGCTACCTGGGTGGAGAATTGAACTTCCCAACTTTGTCAAGGGTGGGGCCCACAGAAATGGTCATGATTTTTTAACACATTACATTCCTGTAGTGATTACATTTTCTGATCAACTTACTTTAGTGAAATATAAATTCTAGATGGAATTCTCTTTTGTAAAGAGAAAAATCAATATTTATACAATGCATACATTCTAACCTAACAAGAGATAGAGAAGTGATTAATGAGTGAAGTACCCAATTAATTTTCAATCCCAGTGAATCAACATTTGAAATGGATTTTCCATTTAAGTAAGCTTTGTTTTTTGCTTAATCCAGTTGACATACCGAGATACTTTGGTATATATTCCATATTTGCCTTTCATTGCGCATTCTTCACCCCAGCTAATAATTCCAGTTAGAAAATTGGTCCCTTCCACTTCAGTCACATGGGGACCCCCACTGTCTCCTTGACACGAATCTCTGCCTCCCTCATGGAATCCAGCACAGAACATGTTATTATAGATGGTGAATTTCGTGGACCGAAGACACGTGGCTCGGTCCACAAGTGGAACTCTAAGGTACTGAAGAATTGAAGCGGTTCTCCCTTGACTGAATAGTTTTCCCCAGCCACTCACATAGCCAGCTCCAAATTTGAGGAAGATGTTTGTGTATTCCCTGTTGGCAATGCAAATAGGTGTTACGTAGCTGTTCAGTGATAAGGGTTTGTCCAGCTCCAGAAGGGCAATGTCGTGGCTGTATTTATTAAAGCTTGCATTGTAACTATGGTGCAGAATAATCTGTGTCACATTTCGCCTTTGCTCTGTATCTTCCTTCTTTTCAATATTATGTTTACCTGTTGCAAATAAAGTCGTTTCAGTCTCAGTTTTTCACATACACAGATGGCTCCTGGCTATCTAGTCTCAAAGATACAAGTCTTATGAGATTGGTAGGGAAATTAGTACATCAATAAATAAGTAACTCACTGAGATAAATGCTTAGGGGTTCATACAAGATCATGGGGCTTGGAGGATGGAGAAAGTTAGGTTTTAAAGTTAGGCCCTGTACCACTAACTGAATGAGCAGCAATTGGACCTTAATAAAGCATGATGCATCAGTCATGCAGGACACCTAGCAATGGTGCGGATTATTATCCTTTTTGTTTAATTACCTGCAACAACCTCAATTTTAATACCAGGGAGAATACAGTGGGCAGCTGTTACGATCCATTTTTCATTCACGATGGAACCTCCACAGAATGCTTCAGTTTCACCATTCAAAAGGACCTGTGGAATAAAATTAAGCCTCTTACTGCATCATATATTTGATCCAGAATGAATAAATACATGTGTTGTTTACAGAAGTGGGCAAAGAGTTAGCTTCTAGGTGTTGGCACAAATGGAATATTTCTGGAAAGTGTCAGTTTTGCAGATGAATTGGTGTTTCTAGAGCACAAAACCAGAAAGCCATTTCTGGAACCATCCTGGAGAGAATGAGCAATGAGAGATGGAGGGGTCCTAGGAGAGACAGATCCAGGAAATGACTTCTTTTGGTGATTTGGGGCCCTACCACTCCTTTCCCAGATGAGGCAGATTCTCTGACGGCACAAATTGCTTCATCTGGATCAGACAGGTATGTTAGGAACATTCTGACTCAACCTCTTGAAATGAATAGTTATTGTTATGTGTTTTTTTTGTCCTTACATGAGGAAATCTCTTTGCTGGAGTTCATTAGAAAAAGAGCAACTCTTGGGCTGGGGATTTAGCTCAGCGGCCTAAGCGCCTGCATTGCAAGCGCAGTCATGAGTTCAATCCAAGGTACCGTACCAAAAAAAAAAAAAAAAGAAAGAAAGAAAGAAAAGAAAAGAAAAGAAAAAGAAGGAAAAGAAAAGAAAAAGAGCGGCTCTTTTCAGTGCCTTCCAAACTGGAATATTATGAAATAAGACCTAAGGCCTCCACAAGGGCTATAGCTGCCCAGAGAGTGAGGAGTTGTACAGGCCTTGCACTCTCCCTTAACCACATTCCAACCCTTCCTGGCTGCGCATGGAAGCTGCCTTTGTACTAAAAGCCCTTCTTAGCTGTGCTTAATTTTTGGGCCAAGTGGACAAAGGTGTTCGAGTGCTGTGTTCAGTCTGGCCATTGTTGGATAAGAGATCAATTTGTTCTTTAATTTGTATATTCAATGCAATGAATATTTTCACTGCCTCAAGGTCTACTTGGAGAATTTCCGTTCCAGTATAAGCAATGGCCTTCCTTGATCCACATTTTCAGAAAGAAAGCTGAGAAGTGTGAACACTAGAGGGCACACTCACCATTCAGTAACCCCTTTCTGGAGCCCGCTAGCTTTCCCTAAACCGATGCTTTTTTTTTTTTAACCAGTGATCACGTAGCAGTAGGCATAAAGACATTCATAAAAAAGGAAAGGGCGTGGTGAGTCCTCCCACATGTGGGTCAGAGAGGTTCCTTGGAGCACGTCCTTCTGAAGATTCTTCTGGTCCTTTATTCAACTTACTGAACACTTGCTTATGGTAGACCCTGAAGCACTAGTGTTTTCCTTGGAGACCTAAATGGGCAACTCATTATGGGGCTCTGACTTCTTTTTCCAAATTCTGGCTCTCCCCCTCTGCCTAGCTGTCACTTTTTATTTTGAAAAGTTGTAATAACATGGAAAAAATCTACATAATATACAGTAAACACCAGTGTGACTACCACTCAGATTTAACAATCTTCCTATTTCTTTTTCACATTTATTGATTGTTCACATTGGGTAACCACTATAGCATCCTATATACTTTTAATACTGAAAACATATCTTTGTGGAGTGATATTAATATATCTATTCACACATGATCAATCTACCGGTAAAGTTTAGTGATCACATCTTAATATAGCAGTGAAGACACGTTACAAAACCAAGTCTGCCTGACTCCAATATTTGTGTCTTTGGGTATCCAATATCACTCCAAGTGTAGTGTATAGACCAAATGCAGTATGATTATATGGGGTGTTTGGAAAATGCAGATTTGGGGGCTTATTCAGACTCAATCAGAAAATGTAGTGGCAGGCACTGTGGAAAATGAAGCTCTCCAGAATATTCATATGCATAATTAAATTTGAAAAGTGTTATATACCTACCAAATCTGAATTCTCAAGGCTTGGTAACCTTTATGCTTGAAAGTGCTCACTGCATACTGGCTATATTACTTTGTGAGGGTCAGTGAGAATGAACCTGAGGCCTTTTGTTCCACATTTGGGAAAATATGCCATCAAAGTTAAAAACACAAAACTCTCCCCTTTCTTCTGTGGTCTCTCCTACTGTTTAGTGTTATGATCCCTTGGCATACGGGCATTTTCTTGGAGAGTGCAGAGCCTTGCAGGGACCCAGGGGCTGTACCTTACAGTCTAACACCCACACTATTATGACCCCTGGTGCTATCCAGACATGGCTGGGCCCCAGCAGGGAAGGACAAATTTATCTTCCCTTGCCACTGGCTTGCTGAAAAAATCAAGGCAGAGACCTGATTCCCAAAAGATTGCCATGTCCATGTCAGGATGTGCTCAGTACCTGGAAGGGAGGCTAGCAAGTGGCTTGCCCCAGGCCATTCGCCCTTCAAATGTGTTGTAATGCATTCCTGGACATGTGACCATGCCTCTTTCCAAGTAGCACAGAGCATGTACACCTGGCCTCATTCTTTCCTATACCTAGGTCCTGGCCCTCTCCAGGGAAGGAGGGTGGCAAAATAGGTGGGTAAAATTAAGGACAAGGCATGCCTGGGTACCACGGGCTGGGAGTTGGCGACGGTTTTGGGGCAGGTGTGGAGAAGGAGAAGCAAGGGTGGCTAAGGAACAGGGTGTGGGGCTGGAGGTGGGAGGTCACAAAACCAGCCCTGGGAGGTGGAAAGAAGTGGGAAGGAGACAATGCAGGGTTTCAAGACCCCAGCATGTGCTCTATGGTCTCACCAGATTTCACTTACAGAACACAAATGCAAAGCATTGAACCCTAAATATGGGTTCCTGCTCAGTACACAGCCACAGCCATTGTCACAAGGCAATGTAGCTAACCCTGACCACTGAGTAAAGTTTATCACCAAGCAAATATGAGCAACATGATTCTATACTGATCCTGGTGATTACAACTAAATGCATCTGTCTTAAGCAAGTGGCATTAAGAATCTGTGTACCACAATATGTTGCTTTTCCATTAGCCGCTGTGTGTTTTATTTTGCAGGGGGGACTGAATGTCTCCTAGTTTACTGGGCTAATTAGGCCAGACTGAATGATATCCACATGGGCACAGAGACCATGATGTAGTTTGTCTGACTCCTGCCAAAGACTTGCTGCCTGAAGCGTCTATTGCTTTCCAGTGGATGGCCAAGAAATACGGTGGTGTTCTTTTAAGGCTGCAGAACATTTTTTGCCAATTACTGATTGGTGTTGGAAATTTTAGAAAACATCTTTGCCTTTCTTGGCAAGGCCTTTTCTTAGGCCTTAAATATATTTGTGTTTAAAGATATTACAAATGGCATGGTCTTGGAATGTTTGCTTGGCCATTTCAGGCTCACAGCTATCTAAATATTAGCTATTTGGAGGATGCACTATCTGCTTGGCCAAGGACAAGTTCTTGTAAGACATGACCTCAGAGAATGATGAGGAAAATGAGAAAGCATATATTTTGAGCAAGGCATCTGAGTTGTGACCTGTCAAACATCTTCATAGGAGCCACAGCCTACTAGGAGCACACATCAAACAAATATTCATCTATAAAATACACACCAGAATTTATGATCTCTAAGACAGTGCCAGCCCAGAACACCAGATGTTTCCTTGTTCTCTCTCCAACCTCTGACTGTACCCTACCGTTTCCCTGTGATTTCAGCAAGACTACTTTCTCCCTCCCTACCCACCTCAGCTTTCCAATAATGCTTTTCCTCTCTTATACATAAAGTAAGACAATTTCTATATGATGTACAGATTTCTATGTCCACAGGTGTGCTTTGCCCAGCCTATGACCCTAGGTTATTTGCAGAGTCATAAAGGGAACCTCACTGGTTTTTAATGGCTAACTAGTCATTGAATTAGATTTCTTCAAGTGATCTTAGAGGACAATAGTCTAACTGATCTGAACTAGTTTTGTGAGGCCAGGCGAGAGTTTACACATGTTATTACTTCTCCTAATTGGAATGTTATCATGTGAGCCACGAATAACAGAAGGTTACCTTTTTCCAAGTGGAGTTATTTCTATGATATAAGATCTCCATGTGACATCCCCCACATCCCTCAGAAAAGAAAGCTCTGCTTTTTTGGTAAATTTTCCTGCTGTCTGCCACTGAGTCATGTCCTAATCAAACGGGAAAAATTAGATCTGTGTAGCTAAAAGTACAAGGCAAGAGCTCAGCTCACCTAAAGGATAGCTCCAGGCCAAACCAGAGGGCTTCAGACATTGGGGAAAGTTCAAGATTTGGGCTAAGAAGAGAATAAAGAATGGAAATTTTCTCTAGACATTTTCTGCTGGTTGAAATGGTTAAATATTGTAAATCACTTGGTACAACTTACTCTAAGAAAAGGAAAGAGGAATCACTTGATTTCCATTGTACTCCATTTTTGCAATCTGGTATGATCTTCAGATTATTAAATGTGGAATAAATATGTCTCACACAGAAGTAAGACCCATGGTAAAATAGCAAACTGAAGCAAGCACTTCACACACAGGGCTAACCAGATAGATCCCAACCAAAGCAGGAAATGTGGGAGAATTTACATTAAGGCCAGTTTGTACATGCTCAGAACTGTCAGTTGGCATGGTCACGGGCATGGTAACAAAACCAAATTAAAGCTATATTCTAATATAATTGATCTCTAGTATTCAAATGCTTTTGTTTCTTCCTTATGTAGCAGTATGAAAGTCAAGTCTTGAGTTCTGCGCTCTACTAGATAAAGTAACCCTCTAGCTTTCTGTCTCTTCTGCAGATTCTCTACCTTCCTTTCCCAGGTGCTCAACCTCTCTGTGTCTGCAGCTGGGGTTCTGGAGGGAAACTGAAGGAAATATCTCCTCTGACTGACCACAATCCCCACCCCTCCACCCCAGCCAGCTCACTGGAGTCTCAGTGAGCTGAGATCTAACTTTGCCTGCCTGCACCTTTGGGTTTTGGCTTTAAGAGTCCACTGGGACTCACAAGCATGGCACAGCTACACTGGCCCTTGTTCCTGCCAGGCAAGATAGGGTGGAACCCAGAATAAGGTAAGAAATGAGCCCTACTGCCCAGGGCTACATGAAAGTCTCAAAGCCA